CTTCCCAGGAACCTACAAGCACCATTCCAGCAATCCATGGCTGTGTAACCAAAGTGGGGAAAACTGACCTCACAGGTCTGGTGCTTGTCCAGAAAGGCTCATCTCTGCCCTGCTGACCTCAGCTGTGGTGGTAGCACACCCTGATGGGGCCCGGAACGTTCCCTCTGACATGGCTCATTGCTGCGAATGCCATCTTAAGTTACTTGTCCCGGGGCTGAAACGGAATAACTGCCAGAGACGACCTAAGAAATGACTTTTTTGTTTTGGTTCGCAATGCGCGGCTCCTCGGATTAGGGGCCCATGGTGAAGTGGGGTCTCGTTGCTGCGGGAGCTGTGGAAGAGGGTGCTCACATCGTAATGGATAGCAAGCAGAGTCGGAGGACTGGACCAGGGACCGGCACACCCTGGCATCCTCCTCCAGCTTAGCCGCACTTTCTGAAGTTATACCCTCCTGGGGAGCACTGTAGGGAATGTTCCCTCGTGTAAACCACGGCAAGTCCTGCCTGGATTCTTTTCCAGGCCTGGCAGCCCCTTCTGTCTTGATGGCTACGTTTCCAGAACAAGCGCACAAAGGTGCCTCCCGCACTGAGAAGCATCCTGGTGGCCCTAATCACAGGCTCCCTGGGAGTGGTTATCTGGCTTCAATCCTCCCTTCTGAGTCAGCTTGGGCCCTGGAAAAAACTTCCCTGGTGAGTGCAAGCTTGTATTCCACCAGCAGAGGGCGCTGGAACTGCAGCCTGGAGCGGAAAGGGGGCTTGCTTCCCTTTTCTCCTGTTTGTTTGCATGGGGGAGGGGGCAGGACTTTGTGTGCCTAGCAAGGGCTCTGGATCGAGCCCTAGCCCCACCCCTCCGTTTTGGGCCTAGCACCCTCCTTCCTCTAACCCTGCAGCCCCCCCAGTGGACTCTCTTCAGAGACCCCGAGTCGGAGGGTGGCTTCTTGCAGACTCCTCTGTTGTCCCATGCCCAGGGATGCCCTCCGCTGTCTAATGGGAACTCCTGGCCACACAGCCAGCGCCTCTCCCTTGGGCGATTCTGCTTTCAACCTTGCCAGGCCCCCTCACCAAAGAAAGCCTTACCCTCCACCGGAGTCTTCCCAGCCTGGGCAACTCAGCAACTCCCCACGGTCATTTTCTTGGCATTTGCCGCTCCTGCATTCTCTGGGGTCTTGTGTGCCCTTTGGATGGCTGAAGGTCTACCGGCCCAGGTGACCAGCCCAGCGTCTGTCTCTTTCTGGGACCCCCCAGGCAGGAGCGGTCCTAGGAGCAGTGTCTTCCAAGATGGATGCACAGTATACGTTGGGCCTCGGCATTGGGCGTGAATGTGCTACTGAGCTCCTCGCCTATGGGAAACAGGTGCTTCCGTCCACGGCATGTGGGCATTGCCTCCAAGGAAGCTGCTTCCATTGGCTAGTGGTGATAAAGGGCCACTTACCATGACATGGGGGCCCAAGTAACTGGGGCACGTCACCGTGGTGCAGAGGGACATGCAAGGGAGTCACCAGGTAGCTCAACTCCAAAGTCCTCAGCTAAGAAGCCAAGTGCTCCCTGACCTCTGGTGGCTGCAGGACCAGCACTGTTGCAGGGAGAGCCTTTGCAACAGTGAGAGCCGCCATAAGACCCGGCTGAATGTGCACCTGGCCACAGGAGTTGCTTCTGGGAAGTTAGGGGCTTGGCCTGGGTGTAGCTCAGTGACGGATCACTTCCTGACACAGAGAGAGATCCTGGGTCCTTTCCCTGGCACCAGAGGGGAACAGCTGGCGCCTTGATGGAAAGACAGGGACCCTGAATTCCAAATCACATTGAGTCCTCTCCCACCAGACAGACTTGGCAGCGGCCAAAGGAACCGGAGCCCCACATTTGGGGATCTTTATGAGTCCACCTGTGGCAAGTCCTCAGGAGTCCCCTTCCTCCTTGAGGACCCCACCTTTTGTTGCTGTGACACTTGTAGTTACATCCTGGGGCCCACGGTGTGACATGGCAGGAAATTAAAATTAAAAAAGGAACAAATACTAAATGTTTTGTGTTTTGAGAGGTTTCTGCCCACTATCCTGTTCTTCTGGTCTCTACCTGTGTGTTATAGTAAAGCGTGTGGGGGACCTTGGTGGATTCCATGGCGGGTGAGGAACAAACATGCCAGGCAGACAGAGCTTAAGTGAGTTTTGTCAGAAATGGAAGGGGGGGGGAACAGCAGGAGAGGGGACGCGGATGGGGTCTTTTAGAGAGACAGGGTAAGGACACCTGCCATGAGGCAGCTGGGTGAGAGGCAGAACCAGGTTTGCCTAGATTACAACACTACTGTGTGTGTGTGTGTGTGTGTGTGTGTGTGTGTGTGCGCGCACGCGCACGCACGCGCGTGCGTATATAGGCATGCGTGTGTGTTTCTTAGTTAGGGTTACTATTGTTGTGATGAAACACTATGGTCAAAAGCAACTTGGGGAGGACAGGGTTTATTTATTTGGTTAACACTTCAGCATTGCTGTTCATCACTGAAGGAAGTCAGGACAGGAGCTCAAGCAGGGCAGGAACCTGGAGGCAGGAGCTGACGCAGAGCCCATGGAGGGTGCTGCTTACTGGCTTGCTCTCCATGGCTTGCTCAGCCTCCTTTGTGTGTGTGTGTGTGTGTGTGTGTGTGTGTGTTTGGTTTTTTGAGACAGGTTTTCTCTGTATTGTTTTGGAGGCTGTCCTGGAACTCCCTCTGTAGAACAGGCTGGCCTCGAACTCACAGAGATCTGCCTGCCTCTGCTTCCCCAGTGTTGGGATTAAAGGCGTGCACCACCAACGCCCATCTCAGCCTGCTTTCTATAGAACCCAAGACCACCAGTCCAGGGATTGCATCACCCACAATAGGCTGGACCCTCTTCCATCAATCACTAATTAGCAAAATGCCCAAATCCTTTTCTTTCTTTCTTTCTTTCTTTTTCTTTTCTTTTTTCTTTTTTCTCTTTTTTTTTTTTTTGATATAGGATTTCTCCTTGTAGCCCTGGCTGTCCAGGAACTCACTCTGTAGACCCGACTGGCCTTGAACTCACAAAGATCCACCTGCCTCTGCTGGGATCAAAGGCGTGCAACACCACCGCCAGGCTCAACAGCCGAACCTTACAGAGGCATTTTCTCAACTGAGGTCCCCTCCTTCCAGGTGACACTAGCTTGTGTCAAGGCTACATAGAACCAGCCACATCTTTAACCCCAGCACTTGGGAGGCAAAGGCAGGTGAATCTCTGTAAGTTCAAGGCTAGCCTGATCTACAAATCAAGTTCCAGGATAGCCAGAGCTACATAGAAAGTATATATATGCATACATACATACATACATGCATATATTCTTAGCTTCCAGGCTATACAAAAAAGTTGGGGGGCATTTCCAAGCCGATTTTGGCTCATAGGCCATAGTTGCCAAATCCTGGCTTATAGACAGCAAGAATTCAGACATCTTCAGCTCTGTGTTGGCAGAGACTGGGGAGAATGTGTGGAGGAGCTCCCAGCGTGTTAGACTGAAGAGGCTGAAGCAGAACCCTAGCCGGCCACACCCCTAACTACACTGCTGCATCTGGGCAGGCACAGGGGGCTTCAGCAGGTTACTTGACAGACTGGACCTCTGTTAGTGACTCTGGGATGTCAGGACATCCCAGCACCGACTTGACAAGAACGGACAGAGAAACTGGGTGTGGAGGTACAGGACCCTATGTCATAGAAAAACAAAGAGTGGACAGAGAGCCTCAGAGGTGGAACCTGCCGGCGCCTCTATCCCATACACCAGAGGTGGAACCTGCCGGCGCCTCCATCCCACACACCAGAGGTGGAACCTGCCGGCGCCTCCATCCCACACACCAGAGCACCGTCTCCACTAGGGCTTCAGAGCTACACATATGAGAAGCTCCCGCCTCCTAGAAAAGTCCACCAGCACGCCCTTTGTAGGGCCCAGTACTGAGACTGCACGGGGCCAGGGGAGAGTAAGATGCAATACCTAGCCACCAAAGCCAGGGCGCGAACCACAGAGGGCATCTGAATGTACTGGCAGGTACAGTGCCCTGGAATACAGGGCCCCTGGCTAGCTGGAGGGCCCTCTGGGAGGGAAAAGCAAAAAACCCAGCCCCCTAGAAACTGCTTCTCCGGCGACAGAAGGAACTAGAACCCTAGGTGTAGCCAGAGAGCCTCGTGTCGCCACCGTAGTAGACTTCGCTCTTGGCCTCTCCTGCCGTTCTTTTCCAGGCAAAGCCAAGTCTAGACTGAGAGCCGCTTCTGGGTGTGTGTGTAGGGGGTGGGGGATCACAAGAGCCACCGGAGGGGCATCAGGGCGGCCCCTCCACACCTTCTGCGCGCGTGCACGTGGTTACTGAAGGAGCTGTGGGTGCCAGGGAAGCCGGCGGCCACCACCGGATTTACAGGATGTGTGGAACCTGAGGCCGAGACTGAGCCCAAAGTTCAGAAAGTCGTAGATGAACAAGAATGCTTGGCAGCCGGCAGGGCTCCTTGCACCGCCTTTTCAAAGGAAGCAGGAGGCTTCAGGGCAGCAGGGCACCCTTGGTGGCTGACAGGGTGTAGAGTCCAGGCCTGGGTGTCTTGGCACCACCCCCAAGTCACCAAGGGCCTACGGAGCGCAGATGGGATCAGAGAAGTCCCGGGGGAAGGGGGGGGGCACTGCCTCGGCCCCAGCAGCAGGGCTGGCTCAGGGTTAGCCCAAGACACGGGAACGAAAGAGAGGAGGACCCCTGTGTTGCCCCCCGGACCCTGAAGAGGGGGCAAAGCTGACAGTGACGAATTGCTGGTGTACGTTGTAGGTCTAAAAACACTGCATTTTCCTGTTCGGGGATCAGCAGGATGGAGGCGTCGGCTGGGCGTTTCGGAGGCGCACTGAGTTCATCAAAGATCCCACACGATTAGCCAGCCGAAAGGGCGCGACGGGGCGTTCGCAAGGCCGGGGGGAGGAAAAAAAAAATCCAGATGTCTTAAGGACGAAGCTGCTTCGCGTTCCGCGGCGCGAGGCTCCGCGCGGCCGCCGTAGGGCGGGCGGAGTACGGTGGCCGCGGGGCGCGGCGGCGGCGGCGGCGACGGGCTCGGCCGGCCGGCGCGGGGCCGCCATGGGCAACCTGTTTGGCCGCAAGAAGCAGAGCCGGGTCACCGAGCAGGACAGGGCCATCCTGGTGAGGGGTCAACGGCGGGCGGAGGGAGAGGAGGGGAAGTCGAGCCCCGCGGGCGGGGGGGAAACTGAGGCGGGAAGCGGAGCGGGTGACGCTTCCGGTGCCACGGCTCGCCCCGCGGCAGACACACCTGGACCGGCCGCGGCTCGGGTCGGCCCGGCCCCGGAGACCCGGATCGCGTCTGGGTGCTGAGCGCAGATCCGGGTGCGAAGGCGCCAGGGAGGAAGCCGCTGAGAGCCGGTGTCCTCGGCGCCCCGAGCCTTGAGTTACCCGGGTTCCTAGAGGGAAAAAAACCTCAGGGGAAGAGCCCGTGGGCGTGGCCGCCGCCGCCGCTGACCTCAGGGATCCCTGCGGGAAAAGAAAGGGCTTCACCCCCCTCCTCTGCAGCCCCTGTGGAGGGAGGACGCCCCGGGACCCCGCAGTCAGGGCTGTCACAGAGGCAGCCAGGCAGGTGGGGACACGGGAAGGTGAGCGCCCAGCCCTCGCCGCCGCCGCGCCTGCCCTGCTCAGATTGCTCGCCCTTCCAGGGGCCCAGTCTGGCCTTGCTGCAGCTCCAGTCTCTCGGGGCAAGACTCCCGATGCTGTGTAGACAGCTGGCAGAAATGAAACACACACACACACTCACACACGCCACCAATGAGAAAGAGTGAGCACTTTGTCTCATGCAGCTGATGCCCTCCGAGGGGGCAAACCCTGGCGAGAACACTGGGTGAAGGTGGGGGACCTGGAAGCTGACACCCCCACTCCACACACACACACACACACACACACACACTAGCAGAGCCCCCCAGCTAGCTCGGTCTCCTGGGTAACCTAGTGCACGGTGAATGGTTTCTCCCTGGCTGGCTCTCAAAGGTGCCCCTCGCCTTCCCTTACAAGCGTCTGCCCTCAAGGCGTCTTCCCGTGTGTGGAATGTGCCCTGAGCCCGTTTGTCGGTAGCCCCGTCTCAAGGGACAGCATTTGAACACAAAATGGGAATGAGCACGGCTGAACGGTGGCCCCGAGTCCACAGCGGGGCGCACTGCTGGATGGATAGCCGGGAAGATGACGGTGGAGGAGACGGGAAAGCTAAGAGAAATGGGAAGAGTTGCCTGTGGCAGCAAACCCTCAGTAGGCTGAGGCAGGGGGATTGGGCAACACTTTGTCTCAAAAAAAAAAAAAAAAGTGGGAAGGGTGGAAGGGTGTTGGCATACGACTTCATGTTCTCCGACATTTGAACCTTCCAGGGCCTGGCGGTCACTTCAGAGGCCCCGGTGCTTAGACTGTGTCTGGGGCCAAGCTGCGCCTGAGTAGGGTGACGGCCTCCTCCTCGGCACGGAGGGCCTCGGGGCATGATCCCTGCAGCCTGTCTCTGAATATTGCTGCATAGCCTCTGGGCGGCAGAGGCCACCATTGGAGAGGGTTGCCTGACCCTGACCATGCCGGGACTAGCAGCCTGTTGAGAGCCTGGCAGAAGGAGTCAGGGCTGACGGGGCTGCAACTGCTGCTTTCTCCCCAGCAACTGAAGCAGCAGCGGGACAAGCTGAGGCAGTACCAGAAGAGAGTCACGCAGCAGCTGGAGAGGGAGCGGGCCCTGGCCAGGCAGCTGCTGCGGGATGGCAGGAAAGAGTAAGGGGCACTTCCCCGGGGCTGGCTGGCACGGCGGGAGAGGAGGCTCGCCGGGAGCTGGGCAGACAAGCTGGCTTCCCTTGCAGACGGGCCAAACTGCTGCTCAAGAAGAAGAGGTACCGGGAGCAGCTGCTGGACCGGACAGAGAACCAGATCAGCAGCCTGGAAGCCATGGTAGGGCCGGGGCCTTTGCCGGGATCCAGAGCGCCTGGGGACTGGGCCACCCCAGGGTGGGAGGGGGGGGGAGCAGGTCGGGCTGGTGGGGGCCACACACACATCTCCCAGGGTCGGGGTAAGAGCATCCTGGTTTGCCCCTGCCGGCTAGAGTCACTGAAAGTCAGTTCTCGCCCAAGTCTCCAGAATTCTCTCAGTCAGTCCCAGCTGCCACAGCAGAGAACCGGAAGCCAGCCGCCCCGCCCCGAGAGCCCAGAACCCCGCAGGGGTCCTGACCAGTGGCTGCTGCTTTCAGGTTCAGAGCATCGAGTTCACGCAGATTGAGATGAAGGTGATGGAGGGACTCCAGGTGGGCAACGAGTGTCTGAATAAGATGCACCAGGTAGGTCCTCTTGGGGCCTGGCAGGGGGGCGGCTGCAGACTGGTCAAGGGGAGCTTCCCAGCTCAGATCCTGAGGCTAGCTGGATTGGGGGTGTGCCAGTGCCAGAGGTTGGGTTCGCCGCCTCTCCAGGTAGGGTCTGGGTCAGACCAGCAGAAGCACCCTGTTGACTGTACACAGAGGAAGTCTGGGCACCACCCGGGAAGGATTTCCGGTTTTGACCTGTTTTGCTGTTAATTGTCAGGGCTGTTCCCGGTCTGGGGAGGTCTGGGCAGTGCCTCCGCAGACAGGTCTGGCTCAGAGCCAAGGGCAGGCCCCCTTCCCTGGCGTTGCTGGAGGGGAGACAGGTGCTGTCATTTGCCCTGCTGAGCAGCTCTGAAACTTCCTCATCTCCAGGTGATGTCCATCGAGGAGGTGGAGAGGATCCTGGACGAGACCCAGGAGGCGGTGGAGTACCAGCGGGTATGTCTTGCTGGGCGCAGGCCCACCCGTTGCCAGGTTGGCACGTGTATGGCTAGCCACCGCTTCCCACGGGGGAACCCAGAGCCCCAGTTGTAAATACCCCTCACTGCCCGTTTCCCTTCCCCGGGGAGCCCAGAGTCCCGCCGGGCCGGCTTCTCAATGCATCTCTTCCTTCGGCAGCAAATCGATGAGCTGCTGGCAGGAAGCTTCACTCAGGAGGATGAGGAAGCCATTCTGGAAGAGCTGAATGCAATCACTCAGGTACAGGTCCCCAGGGCTGTCTGTCTGTCGGGTCCCCTGGGGGATGGGGCCCTGTCTCCCCAGAGTCACCTGCTGTTGGCAGCCCAGTAGACCTGTCTGGGAAGTTGTCCTTTCGGTCCCGCGGCTACCCACCTGCTAGAGCCAGGGACGTATGCGCTGCTGGGAAGACTGAGGCCACCTACACTCAGGAGCAGCTCTCCACAGCCCCCCAGGATTGTAGGCCCTCGGTGCTCCACAACAGAAGCCAGTGACAGCTTCCTAGCCCCGGGGAGTCCCACACCCTGGGTGTCTGCCTCCTTCACGGCCCTGTGCAGCCCCTGCTTAACGTTCCTGGGGGTAACTCCAGGTCACCGGGGCTCCTGAGGCCTCTCAGAGTAGCTTGCCCTTACCCCTGCAGTGGCTAGGGAGGGAGAGCACAGAGCCAGGCCCCCGAGCAGGAGGCAGCAGCAGGCTTGAGGTGCTGCACCCCTCTGAGGGCAGCTAACGGGCAGATCCCACCCAGCTCACGCCTCACCTCTGCTTCTTGCAGGAACAATTGGAGTTACCGGAGGTTCCTTCAGAACCCCTCCCTGACAGAAACCCAGGTACCTTTGTGTGTGTGTGTGTGTGTGTGTGTGTGTGTGTGTGTGTGTGTGTGTGTGTGTGTGTGTGTGTGTGTGTGTTGGTCTGAAGGAGCGTACCCAAGTCTCCAAGGGAACAGTGCCCAGTGCGCCTCTCACCCCACCCACCGCCCCCCCTGCACTGTGTCAAAGTGCGCTGCAGCTGTGCCCAGTTGGTGGAGAGTGGGTTCCGGGCTCTGGCTGGGCTAGGGTTTCCAAGGGGTTGGGTCCTCCCATGGAACCCAGGCCAGCTCACCGAGGCATACCCACTCCTCGGCCCTGGAAAAGGCTTGTCAGCCGCTCAGATACTAGGAGGCTTAGACCCCAGTTCCGGCTGTTGTCTGGGACTCAGCCCTGGGCAGCGCTGCCCCGTAGCATCATGGCCACAGCCTGGAAGCTTCTCCTCCACTCTAGTCAGTGGCTCAGAGGACACTCAGAGTCACAGTGGCTCCACGTGTTCCTGTTCCCCTGTGGCTTCTGGGAGCTTCCGGCCTCCTGAGGCCTACTGCCAGGCTGCACCTCTGGCCTCTAGGCCCATCTGGCTTCCTGTTTATAACTCACCTCCCCTGGTAGGCACGTCCCTCACCTGCAGCCTCTGGCCTCCTCCTCTGAGAGCTGGCTGTGCTCACAAGTACATCATGGACGACTCTTTTTCTCCTTAGAAGCCCCTGCCAAGACCAGATCCAGGCAGGCAGAGCTGGTGGCAGCATCATAACTTGGACTCTCCAGAGACTCACAGGGACTCTCTGAGGACTGACCCACAGAGTGTTTGGCTGCGTGTCAACCCTGAGGGCTCCCAGAAGGCCTGAAGGGCTGCGCTGTCCAGTGCAGGTGCTGGTGGCTGGAGCAGCGGCCTACACGGGCCTGATGTCAGGGCCCCACGACGCGCCTTCACAGCTTAGCCTGGATGCACCATTGTCTCGCTCTCACTCTGGATTAAATGGACACTCAAAGCCCAGCCAGGCCCGGCTGCAGGAGCTGTGGTCCCCACGGTGGCCACGGCCCATCTCCTGGTGCTGTTCTCATGGCTGTGTGGCCTGCACTCTCGTGGGAAACTGCTTCAGACCTTGGGGTCCCTATGCTTCCTTCTCTTGTCTCTGCTGCTCACATGAGCTGAGGGGGCTTTAGTGAAGGGATTCTTACTGTGCCTGGCCGCCTGCTGTCCCTCGGTTTCCCTGCAGGCTAGCGCAGGATCCCTAGCACACTGCTGCTCTCCAAGTCTCTTGGAGCATCTTTGACACCTCAGCCTGCTATTTCTGGAGGAGGTGGACCAGGGGCCTGGAGCCTGACTTGGGGTCTTCACAAAAGAAAGACATCTTGAAGTTGGTGACAGGACCCTGTTCCAATGGGTGTGTGCCCCGTGGAATCCTGGACACAGCTGCCAGTCCTAAGCCACCAACACCCAACAGGTGCAGAGCTTGGAAGTGACTTCCAGGGTCCTGTGCTCATTCGATACTGGACAGTCTCTGACCCTCGGGTCTTTGAGGGACACAGGGCCTTCCATCCCTTCAGGGCCCACCAGGAAAGGCCGTCTCTTCCTTCACCCCGAACAGGTCAACCCCAATATTAAAGTTGGCCCTGCATGGTCTTCTGCCTCTTGGACTTGAGTCTAGTGTCTTGGTGTGGTTCCCTGCATAGGAGAAGTTACACAGATAGATTGGAGTGCGGCTCATGACCCACCTGGAACAGCCCTAGCCATCATGCTAGGCAAAGCCGGGTGCTGGCTGCCAGATGCTACTCCGAATGTTCATGCTGCATATTTGTTTTTGTTTTGTTTTTGTTTTTTGTTTTTTCGAGACAGGGTTTCTCTGTATTATTTTGGAGCCTCTCCTGGAACTTGCTCTGTAGACCAGGCAGGCCTCAAACTCACAGAGATCCGCCTGCCTCTGCCTCCCGAGTGCTGGGATTAAAGGCGTGCCTGCGCCACCAACGCCCGGCCCATGCTGCATATTTCTACTTACATAGGGCTGGTGGTTAGGACCAGACCCCAGGCCAGAGAGAGAAAACTGGTTGGGGTTGCAGTGCTCGTCATCTCTGGTAGATAGCGGGCAGGTCCCCGCCATGGAGCAGCCTCCACACACAGCCAGGCTTAGCATTGCTAGGTCTCAGGTTCCTCGGGAGACAGTGGAACCCGGGTGTGCAGGTGAAAACGGAGAGCAGCCCTGAGCTCGTGCTTGGCAGCCCCCAACACCCATAAACATGATGTGGCCTCTCCTGCAGTGCCTGTGTCCACCAGCAGGGGGCTCTGCCCACCTCTGCTGCTGGGGGTGAAGCCTGCTCCAAGCCCACAGCCGTGTCCTAACAGCAGTAAATCCAGGCCCAGGGCGCACCCACACCCCGCAGTCACACGCACGCTGTTGAGGTGATGGGGTCCTGCAGGCATTGCTTCAGAGGCCCAGGTAAGCCAGGCTCTATTCTGCTCTCCGTTGTGTCTGACCTGAGCCAGGCAGAGGCACAGCTGTTCACTGGAAGAGGTGCCCTCGTCCCAAGGCAGCCAAGAGTCTCTTGAATATAACACCACATTGGGGGATGAGGTCTTGCTGAGCAGCCCAACCGCCTATGCTGTGCACAGGCCTTGGCCTTAAGCCTTCTGAATGCTGGGGTGACAGCCATGTTCCTCTGTCTCTGGCTTGGTGGTGGCAGCCTTTAGGTTCGACCCTGACCCTGTGGGCTTTGGTATTATTAGGATCCCCTGATCCATCACGCTCCCTTGTTAGTCAGTGTAGTTGGTATAGGATCCATGACACCCACAAGCTAAGTATAAAGCTTGTAGCAGAGCTGGGGTCCCACCGGAGACAATCCCTGGAAACTTGGAGGTGAGCGGTGGTGCCGTGAGTGGGGCCTCTTGACCAGGTTGGGGCCGAGGCACAGTGCACGGTGCGCCCCGGAAGCCCCCTGAGATTGTGGCCTGAAGATCCAGGCAGGGGCAGAAAAGGCGAGCTCATGGGACGGCGGGCAGCCGGGGCGAGGGTACCTCTGCTACCAGGAGGGCGTTTGTAGAGTGACGAATGTGTGCTTGGCTTTCGGCTGGCTCCGTGAAGGGAGGCTTGGATCCAAACTCAGAGCCCAGCTGGCTGTCTTCTGCCTCAGCCACCGAAGCCTTGGCACTTCGGCTCCTTCATGTGTGAGATCTTTGGAGCAGAACCCTCATGCTCGCAACCCTGAGTGAAGCCTGTAAGCCGGTCGCCAAGTGCAAGCTGCATCCACCCAAGTCTGGCGCGGTGGCTCTCACCCTGGTAATCCCAGCACCAGGGAGATGGAGGCAGGAGGCCAGCATGGACTGCGTCGTATGACCCTGTCTTCAGCACAGAGGCTGGGGATGTGGCTCTCACCCTGGTAATCCCAGCACCAGGGAGATGGAGGCAGGAGGCCAGCGTGGACTGCGTCGTAAGACCCTGTCTTCAGCACAGAGGCTGGGTATGTGGCTCTCACCCTGGTAATCCCAGCACCAGGGAGATGGAGGCAGGAGGCCAGCGTGGATTACATCGTACGACCCTGTCTTCAGCACAGAGGCTGGGGATGTGGCTCTTGGGTAGAATGCTTGCCTAGCTTTCACGCGACCCTGGGTTTGATGCAGAGAAAGAAATTGTATCAGAAAGTGCTGACTTCTCTGACCACTGAGGGCTGTTATTTCATTCTTACTACATTTCTGTGTGTGACGTATGGAATATATCTGGAAGCCGGAGAATGCTCAGGGGTCAGTCTCTGCTCTGCCATGTGGGTCCTGGGCTTGAATTCAGGTCTTCAGGCTTGGTGGCAAATGCCTTCAACCACTGCGGGGCCCCAGCTTTAAAGCTCACATTAATCTGGTCTTCTGTAACAGAAAGACAGGGCCTGGGTGATTCATAATGGACAGGCAAATGCTTCTCCACGTTCTGGACGTTACACGTGCAGCCTCCTGCTAAGCAAGGCCTTCTAGCGGCTGGAGTGACAGGACAGGAGAGGCCACCTCACCCCTTCTGAGGACACCAACCCCTTAAGAGGCCCCTATGGCCTAATCACCTTTTTTTTCTTTGTTCCTCCCCAGCTTCCAACCCCTACCTTCTTTCTGCCCGGCCTTCCTGGACATCCCTGAGCCTTGTGGAGGGAGTGACAGAGATGAGCTCCCAACAGTCACTGACCCCGGCTCTCTGGCCAGTCATGAGACCCCTCGTTTACCGTGCCCACTGCAGAGAGCAGCCTTTCAGGCCAAGGCTGAGCAGCACTGATCTGTAGGTATAAGCACAGGCGATTTGAAGGCAGTTGGACACCATGTCCATCTATCAGAAGCAGTAGCAGGCTCCCCAAGGCCTGTGACCTCCCTGGCCATGGGAACCAGGTTTCTAGTGCCAGGCTTGCATGCCCTCCTGTGGGGTAGGCCTCACCTCACATCCAATCCCAAAGCAGGCGATTCCCCTCATAATTGTGCCATCAATTAGCATATCTTGCCTTGCAGCCTGGTGTTGGAGCACACAGGGCTTACCACTGTGGTACTGATGTCTCTTCTCTTCCAGAGGCCTGTATCTAACCACCTCTTTCAAAATTTTTTAATTAAAAAAAATTTATCTGCATTGGTGTTTTGCCTGCATATGTGTCTGTGTGAGGGAGTCAGGTCCTACAGATGGTCATGGGCCATCATGGGAGTGTTGGGAGTTGAAATTGAGGTTTAATCCAGGAGGCAGAGACAGAGGGATCTGTGAGTTTGAGGCCAGCCTTGTCTACAGAGGGGCAGAGCCAGCTCTCCCGTACCTGTGGTGAGGAGTAGGGGCCATCTATCTAAAGTGCAGGGTTCAGCTCTCCATGGTGGGGGTAGCTCTCCTGCTGCAGTGCTCAGTGGCAAGACTATCCTGGAGCCAGTGAGGGACAGGGCTGGATCAGCATGACCCTCAGATGTCAACACACATGGTTCCTATGGCCCCCTATGGTAAAAAAAAAAAAAAAAGCCAGGACATCAGCCTAGACCAAAGCTGCTGTTGGTAATGGACCAGTAGCCCAGGCCCAGACAACACTGTGGCCACAGGTGGCAGTGCAGGCCACTCAGATTGGCACGGTCCCTTGGCACCGAGGCCCTTGGACACCAACATGACAGCAAGAGGCAGCCCAGACCGCTGGCGTTGGCATTGCCTTCCACGGTATCAGGAGCCATGAACGTGAACACAGACCCTGGCCCTGGCCCAGACGACACAACGGTGGCAGCAGAGGCCACTCAGATTGGCGCCACCCTGGTGGCAACATAGCCCTCAGGCGCAGCATGGCCACAGGTTGCAGCCTAGACCCCACGTCATGTGGCCTTTGGTGGCACCGAGGACCCCACCTTGTAACACTATCACAGTGGCAGTGACGTTTGGGTCTGGGTCCTAGAGGGGAGGCAGCATTGAATGGGGTAACCACGCCGGTGAATGGAACCGCGTTAAAGCCAGAGTGGTTGCAGACCTGTAGAAAACAGGGCTGCTCCCCTCGAGGCGGGTCCAGCTCCAGCCAGCTCACAGTAGCGGATGCTGGAGCCAGAGCGCTGCCATTGTGCGTTCCGGTCTGCAGGTCCGAGGGCCATCCCAGGACTTGGCGCAGGGTAGGCAAGCACTCGCCCCGACAGCTGCCACCAGCCCTGCACCACCCCCCAGTCTGGGTGTAGCCATTCACCGATCTCCCGACCCCCACCCCGGAGACGGCTGGTCTGTTTTCTTGAGAAAGTCACATACTAGTAATCACTGCATAACCTAGTAGACCATGGCACCTGTCACTCTACACAGGCCTCTGGCAATGACCCAAGTGGCCACGTGTGCCCAGGGCAAGCTCCCTTGTCATGCTTTGTGATGGTGTCTGGTGTGGGTGACTCTTTCACATCTGTCTGCACAAAGTTTGCTGACTGTTGCTAATCACCAGGCACGGTGTTGCACACCTGCAATCCCAGCATCCCAATGGCAGAGGAGGCAGGAGGATCTTTCCACTTTTGAGACCACCAACCTGAGCCACAGAGTGAGGCCCTGGCTTTTTTCTTTTAAGTAATTTCCTATGGTCAGGCTGCTACTATGCCCCCTGCTCTGGGACAGGCACAGGTCAGTTTGGACAGCTGCAGCCCAGACTTAACTGCTCACCATCACTTTGCTGCTGTGTGCCCGAGCTGATGGCTCCTGCAGGGAGACTTTCTCCTTCCCTAGAGTCACCTGTGGGAGGAAGGGACTGCTGCTCCCGGCCCCTTTCCTTCCAGGGTGGACCTGTGTCCAGGGCTCGGGCCACTGGACACCTGAATCCCCAGGGATAGGGGGCACCTCCCACGCTTCCATGTTCCCTCGTCAACGTTTTCCAACTCCGAGGCAAGCCCACCCGCCTGGGGGAGAAACGTCCGCAGGGGCTGCTCTTCCAGAACTGCAAACTCACTTACAGTCATTCCTGGCCTCTAGCCTTCCTGAGGAGCCACACCCCGCTGACCCACTCATGGTGTCCAGCCTCCGAGGAGAATGTGACCTCCTGCCAGGTACCCGAATGCCGTCTAGGCTTCTGTCATCCCAGGTTTCCAAACGGTGTCCCTTCCTCATAGCACACGAGCAAGGGGGCTCGCTGGGCCCCGAGCTGCAGACCTCACTGGAGAAGCCCGGGGTTCTGAGAGTGGGGGAGCACAGGAACCGCG